TAGTCAGTGGCAGCGAAGGCCACGTCACACATCGTTAGGATGTCGTGACCTCATTGGCCAGTTGGCCTACACCGGCGGACGGGCTTCACTCCACCCTTCTTCTCGTTCTACAAAACCCCCGATCTCCTCAACTCCGTGTTTTCTCTTCGCTACCTGCCCCTCCAATGTGACACCGTCGTAAGAAAATCCCAACGGTGATCGAACAGGCGAGGCGAATCTTAAGCAGTCAAGAGGGAACGCGAGCTAACAATGCTATACGAACGTCACAATTGTCTTTCTTTCATCAATTCTAGACCAGAACATGGAATGCTTAGCACGCAGCTTTGGTGGTCGTGGGGGCGACCGTGGACGACGACAGGCTCGCAATCGCGCTGTCAATGTTCAAGCGCCCGTACCCGTACACGTTGTTGGGGTACTTGAGCTCGGACACGCCGCCGCACGTTTGGTTGGTGGGGATCAGCGTCTTGGTGTCGGTGGTCGAGGTGAACGCTTTGTAGATTTCGTCGTACTTGATGCCCGGCTTGGCCGCCAAGATGAGAGCAACGGCGCCAGTGACGTGGGGGGTCGCCATCGACGTGCCCGAGTACACACCGTAGGAAGTGTCGCTGCGGGGAAGGGACGAGCGCACGCTTTCACCGGGGGCGGACAAGTCGGGCTTGATGCGGCCATCGGGGGTAGGACCTCGGCTCGAGAAAGACGCGATCGCGTCGGTCTTGTGGGTCGCGCCGATGCCAAACGTGAGCTTGCCTTGACCAGGAGATGCGACAGTGCTGCACTTGTAGCCAGCGTTGCCGTTGGCAAAGACCGGGATGATGTTGGCCTTGCGCCACGCGGCGACCGTCGCGTCATAGAACGTCTCCGTCGCATCGTCAGAGCCCCACGAGTTGTTGATGACGTGGGCGGCCTTGGAGCAGTCGGGGTTCTTCCCGTTCTCGTCAGTCGGGCACATCATGAATTCGCCGCACTTGAGGAGGGCGTATTCGGGGCAGGTTGTCGAGTCGCAGCCCATGCACGCAATCCACGACGCTTCGGGGGCGACACCGATGCCAGTGGTCCCCACGCTCGTACCCATCGTGTGCGACCCGTGGCCAACCGTGTCGACGGGGGTCGTGTTGTTGTGGTATGCGTCATACCAGCCGTGGTCGGCGCGGAAGTTGGCCTTGAGCGCTTCATGAGTCGCGCGGACACCAGTGTCGATCCCGCCGACGACGATGCCCTTGCCCTTGTTGCCTTTGGCCCACACCTTGGGCGCGCCGATGATTTCCACACCCCATTCGTTGGCTTGGGGCGCCGCGGTCGCGTCTTCGATTACGACAGGGGGGATGCGGGCCGAGGAGGCCGTTCGGACTTTCGACACGCCTGGGATGGCCGCGATGGACTCCAAGAGCGCCGCGGGGGCGTTTTCAATGTAGACGACGTTGGAGGCCCAGAACGATTCAAACTTGATCGCGCTCGCGCCTTCCTTGGTCGCGAACGCCTTGATGGCGTCGAGGACGGGCGCTTGCGAGTTGGCAGCGTGCACGACCAACGACTCGCGGACGTTTTCGATGTGGGCGCCGCGAGACAAGGCCGACTCGATCGAACCGACCGCATCCAGTGCGGGGCCGTTGGAGTCCATGAATTCCACGACGACCTTGGAGACCGTGGCTGAAAGTTCGAGCTCCCGGTGAACGCTGTTGGACATCTTGGAGGCGTCCGAGACGATGGACAAGGCGGCGGCAATCACAAGGGCAGTGCGGGCAAACATGTTAGTCTATTCGAGAGCGAATTGGAGAATGAGCACTTGGCGACCTGTCGGGATCGTCGGGTGCATATGATGGAGTCCGTACCAGCCGACAGGAATCCAGCCACCCGACCATGTGCCCGATGATAGATTGAGGCGCCACTGGGTGCGACACCACACCAACATTGCAATCGTGTTTAACAGACGTGCTACGTCGAGAGTTTCGTTACGGGCGTGCTAGCCCTGCAGGAGGGCGGTGCTGGTCATGGCGCCTGGTGGCTAGGTATGGATGGCACTGGTCTGAGGCAGTATTGCCCGATACAATGTATAGCGCAGATGCAATTGTCCGCTTGGGCAGGTATTCGGGTCGATTCACACCCCACTGATCAATCAGATTTGAGCCAGGGGCGATGGAATTCCCACATTGCGTTCAAATGCGCGTGCAAGCGTCGCATCTTTGGCGTACGTTTTGCCGCAATAGGGTAATTCCGCCTTGAAATTCCCAGCACGAACAGACCCCAACACAACGCCGTCAACTGTGCGGTAGATATTAGCTCGTCTGCCCCGGCATCTGTCTCCTGTCTTAAGGAAACGTGAGTCTGGATTTTACGGATTTTATGTACCCCACTCAGAAAGTCGAGGTACATGTACCACCACCTAAT